TTGAGGGGCGGCGCTGCCCCTCCCCCCCAACGGCGCCGGCCTCCTGTCAGACATAAACGCTCACAACTGACCGGACTGAGGCCTGCTCTACATATTAACGAAATCAAAGACGAGCCCCTTCACCTACCAGAGAGGCGCAGCGCTCAGGGCCCTCTTCCCCGCGGGCAGCTGCTGTCATCGCTAAGGCCTAGAGCCCTTTGAACAAAACTCCCTGCAGTTGTTGCAGGAGAAACACGCTCCTCAACGCCTGTTTTTATCCAAGCTCAAACTTTGCGATCCTTTTGTAACAATTATCTGTGTACGCATGACATTTATTGAAAACAGACAGAAGTACATTAAATGTTTATACAGATTTTTCACTCAGAAGACAGTCTATTTGACAGTGAAGACAAAAATGTTACTCGCATAATATATCAAAGTATATAGAAGAGTTCAGTGCTTAAAAACAGGTGGCTCATGTGAATTCGGAGGGCTGCACTGATCACTGCATCCTCTGCAGGGAAAGGATTTTCCTTGAAGTGTTGGCTTTGATTTTGGGATTGTCTCTTTCCGTAGTGCAGTAGTAAACACAAATTATAAGAGTCACACGGGCAAGTCGGTTACTTTCTCAGTGGGCACAAATTGAAGGACGGGAAATTCTATTTCGACACTAAATTTTTTTTTTTTTTTTTTTTTTTTTTAACTGTGAGAGTGGTGAAACAGTGGAACAGGTTGCCCAGAGAGGGTGTGAAGTCCCCAGCCTTGGAGATGCCCAAAAGCTAACCGGACGTGACCCAAAGCAACCTGCAGAGACCCCGGGCAGAGCAGGGGGTTGGATTAGATGATCTCCAGAGAGCCCTTCCAACCTCGGCTGTTCTGTGATCCTGTAATTTCATTGGACTGTAACAAAGACAGCGCACATCAAGGCAAAACGAAAAGGTCAGGGGCCAGCGGACATTTAAAAACATATATAATTAAATCTATGGCCTCCTTAGCTTTAATCATTTATTCAGGAATGTAAGTACAATTAAATGGTTTGGGTTATTCATTGTAAAAACCCATTCAGGAATGTAAACAGGAATATGGAAAAGTCACACGGTTAACAATACTCTTCAAAAATGCATCTACGATAGACCTATAAATGTCCAAGATAAATTTCCAACCTCAATGTTTAACTCTGCAATTTTAAGTTTTATAAATAGAATTTGTATACAGAAAAATTAACAGCTTTCTAACAGTATACTGGTAACTCCCAGACATCAGAGAAATACTTCCTTGTTAATAATCCAGGAGCTATAACCAACACGCTTGTGTGTCAAATAAGAATGGACTGAGCTTTCATTTACGCCACTAATTTAACATTTCCATGTTTGTCAAGTTCCACAACAGAGAGTTCCTTCAAGATGCGTACTCTTGAGTCAGTGGCTTTCATATTCATCTTGTTCATCTGTGAAACGCTGAGTGCTGCTCTGCAAGACAAGAGCAAACTATTCAGCAAAGCAGGGTATCAAACATCAGGCCTGCCAGAGAGTGACTAAAAAGCCCATACTGTTTAGAAGACTGATTTTTGCAAGGGCTCTGCAATTCTCACACTTATGCACATTGCCATCCATTTCACTGTGCTGCTTCAAAGAACAGTCCAAGCTCAGTGTCAAAGACAGAATTGTTAGGTTAAAAGCTTCTTCATTCTTTACCATCAGCCTGTGAGAAATCTGCAGCAGAAATCACAGACAGAGGTCAGGGCTCAGAGTCAAGGGCTAGAGTCAGGGTCTGGGGTCAGGACTGAGGTGAGGAATTTGGGTTAGGGTTTTGCTTTTCCAGGTTATGAAAGCTAGAAAGGTTTTCCAGTATGACTGTGTCAGCAAAACTTTTCGAGTAGACCCAGTTTTGGACATCTGTTCAGTGACTCCAAGGTTAAAAAAAAAAAAAATCTGTTTCTGAAGAACTGGACATGCAGTTTTGAAAATTATCAAACGATATAAACCATTTTTATATAAATAAATTTGGGGAGTTTCCTAGGAGGGCATATCACTTTGGGCTATATACCCAACCAGTAAAGGCATAAGTGAGGGAAATCAAATTTTGAAGTTATAGTAGAGCAGCAAATAGTTAACCACTTTCAGAGTTGACAACTGTTTTTATTCAGTTTAAAAAGGCTGGAATTTCTTTACAGATTATAAGAGTCTTATTAATGGATTCCTTCAAGTCTTACCTGTTCTTATTGATAACAAAGTGGTTAAATAACTCCCTGTAAAAATTGTTCAAGTCTGCCAGCTTAACAGTACTTCTGATACTCCTTCGTACAGTCATAAGCGTTTCTTCAGTCAATGGTTTGAATTGTGATTCTAGAAAATTGAAAATAGAAGGCATTTATTTCTTCAGAAATTAGGCCACAGATAGATAGTACTTTCATACCTTTGTAAGAAAACTCCTAAATGATTCTGAAAAAGATTTTACTGCAGGAGGAAGGAGAGAGGGAAGACACTCCCTCCAAACTACCATTGTTTCTGCCGACCTAGTGAAAAATAATTTAATTTGAAATTTGATATGGATTAATAAATTTGGTCTGTCAGAGACTAGTCAAAAACAATCACTAAGAAAACTCCTTTTTATAAATAAGGATGAACAGATTAAGCAAGAGTTATTTCTATGGCACAACTAGTACACCATTTTCTTTCTTCCAGACTAGAGGCACAACAGGATCCACTTAAATCCCCTCATCAGCAAGAGCAGCTCCCAGAGACATGGGAGCTACATGTGGAATATAACTAAGCGCTCAGTTTCTTATAGTAAAGTATAAATTCTTCACTTCATGTAAAAGCAGTAGTTACTAGAGCTTAAGAGAATGAAAACAGTGAATTTACTGTGCTGTTACTGAAGGTTTTTTTACAGTCTCTGTCTTTTTCAGAGAGTAAAACAGCTTAATTCATTAATCCCTGAATTCTAGATAGTAACTCTAATAGTTCTGGGATACTTAAACATATGAAGTTCAACACTGAAGATGGAAGCCTTAGGAAAGATTGATATTATTTGCAAAACTTATTTACAGGGCCTGGGGTGGGAGGAGGCGGGGGATCAGTCTTCATGCTCAAAAAGAAAAGGGAGCAGTAGAAAGATTTTTTTCCCCAGCACTCACCTTCAGTTGAGTCAGGGACTGTAGATTCCGAACTAAATGGCTAAAAATAAATGAGAGATAATTTCAGGATTTGTTGAAATTTTATTTAGAAATTAGTTTTTACAACGAGCATTTCTGTATTAGTAACTACATTTTACCACTGGATACCAAGGATCTCACAGCTACTGAAGTTAACAGCAAAATCTTATGCGTTAAATAAATTCCAATTTCAAATAAGAATAGGTTTAAAATGCAAACAAAAAGATTCATATGCAAGTCAGATAAGCCTCTTCAGCTTTCTCCTCTGCATTCCAATATGGATCTAGCTGAAAGCACTGCACATGCAGCAAAGGAAAAAGACGGCTTCCCTGTTCTCCAGCAACCCTCAGAGTTGACAGTTTTGACAAGCTAAAGGTAGCTATATCTAACTCTTCTCTGCCAGAAATTCAGCATTAACAACAATAACAAAAAAACCAAAACAAAAAACCAAAACAGGGCCTTTGTGGTATCTTTCCCTTCTTTCTGTCTTTCAGAGACTTTTAGAATATCTTCAAAACACACGTAATAACAACATAGGGACTCATACCAATTAAACAACCTTTAATGTGAGCAGGATATAGCTACATTTTGCACGAGGTCTGTTTTTATGCCAGCTGTATCTTAAGGGCTTCAGAATTAAATAATGGAAAGACAAAAATTGAGAGGATTTAATCAAGGTAGGAGAAGATATTTGCAAAGGAAGAGTGAATGAAGCAGAAAGCCAGTATCATACTGGAAGTCTTTCATGCAAACCAACCGTGGCAATAAAGGGACAGAAAGAGAGACATCCTTTGATAGAAAAGGAGTAGGCAGTGAGAAGAAGTAGAAAAAGATAAGGTCAGTAAGATAATTACAGTCTGCTAACTTTCTTTAATATTTTGTTTTTAATGTAAGACCCATACCAAGTCTTTGCAGATGATTATCACTATTAGAATGTTGTGCTTTCAGGAGCTTTGAGAAAATATCCGACTTTTTAACAAGTATCATTTATATCTACATTCTATTGTGTTATATATTATGTGCAATATGCTTCAATTACTCTTATTCATACTCCAACCTGTATTTAATATTTTACAGGAAATTAAATTTCTCTCCATTTTGATATATATGAGCTTGAAGCAATTACACTCTTCACTCCCACCCAAAGGCTTCTTATATAATGTGTTAACAGATTAACAAGAAGAGCGAATAAACACAAACATTTCCCAATAAAAAATAAGAAAAAAAAGTCTTCTGTCAAAACAAGTTCTTCCACCATGGACAATTTAATTGGAACAAAGCAGCAACCTAATCAACATACAATCAAAACAAAAAGGGTTTGCCAAAAATTGTAGCGCCATTCCTTAGAATACCTCTGAAAGGAATGGAATTTAAGTCATAACAGCCCTCCCAACTTCAGTTGAACTACTCAGGATTAATAGTTTCTGAAATACAGACACTGTCGCCTAATTACCTCTTCCGCTAGCGATTCCATTTCTTTAACAGTTTGGCAGGTTAATTGTTGTGCTGCAGCCTGTTCTTCTTCTGACAGAGGCAAGCGCTAGAGAGAAAGATACAAGAAAATTCTGTTACTTTCAGTTCCTAGGATGATCGTATTTACAGAAGAACTCAATGTTTGTCTAATCCTTTTCTCATGGAAGCTAACAGTAGACTTCTACCTTCCTTCAAATGAAAGCAAATTTACAAGCCAAGTATTTTTAAAAATCCAACCACAATATCCATTTAACATCAATACTCTAAATTATTCAGTAAAAAGGAGCATTCCACTTAAGAATTACACGTCTCCCAAACAGTTTAATCAACTGTATTTATCCTAAAACAAAGAAATGCAAGAAAGTCTTTGCTATATGTTTAGACTTTCTGTATCTCAGAGACACAAGACTTCCACTTTTAACAAAATCCTACATACAAAATTATTCTTGGTGGCATATCCTTGGAACACAGGGAGATAATTCTTTTTTTATTTTCTGTGACATTTAACTTCTATCTTTGAAACCATGATACAGTATGTTTTAGCGATAAAGAGTTACCAATATCTTGTCCAGAGCTGTTGACAGATTAAACATAATGTCAGAGGCACTGTTATTATAACATTAAAAGGAGAGCTGGAACCCAAGAAATACTCGCACCAGTCCTGTTTTTGCCACTAGACCACCATTCAGCTTTTTGGATCTAAATCACCGTATTTGTAAAGGGACAAAAATAATGTTTTCACGTTCTCTTCAAAGCTGTAAGGCAACAATGTCTGAAGATCAGTTAGGAGAATGCGATTTTTTTTTTTAAAGATAGATAGGCATCATCATATTGAGAAAAACTTATTTCTTTGCACTAAAAATAGTACTGCCACATATAATGTTACAGTGTATTGCTTTTAACTTGCTTTAGAGAGTCAAAATATGTTTGTCATTTAAAAGCTTTTTTGCCTTTTTAAAATTGGCTTTGCGTTGTAATTTCCTTAAGGTAGCTACTGAAAAAAATCAGTATAAGACTGGGACACAGCTGTGCACAGAAACATCAGTTTCTATGCAACTATTCAAACATATGTCACACTATTAACTTACGGTATTACTTTAACTCAAAACCAGAATACCACTAGCCTCACTGTTGAGTGATGAATCAGGCTTGTGATTTACCAAAATAGGCCCGATCTGGCAAACATTTCTTCTGGTAATCAGTCCTCTTATTTTCTAAGAGTCTCCATGAATAACGCATTTTCCAATCCAAGTACTCACATTTATGTACAGGTTACACAAATACATGTTAATTTACAGGAGTAAGATCCAAATTATTAAAATGAAAATGGTACCTCAAGATCAGTATGTTGCTGTAGTGCCTGAACCGTCTTCATTGTGTTTTCTAGAGCGGCACGAATGCAGTTCATGGATTCTCTCTGCTCTATGGAAACTTTTTCCAGCTGCACACACAACATTTTATAACGGGACTTGACCACGGAGAGTTCTTCTAAGAGAGTAACTGGGTTTTCCTATACAGAAATTAAAAGTACATTTAAACTATTAGAGAAGAGAAAATTAATCTGGCCACATTCTCCATTAAAAGTATAGGCAGTTAGAGCCACTAATATATAACATGACACGATCCTTTACAACTAAAGTGATTAGACAACCATCAGTTTCATCTATACATTTAATTTCTCATAGGCAAAAATGATATAAAATGTTAATAAAATAGCACAACTCGGTGCTTCCACAGCGAATACAGGAGGATGAATTTACTATATTGGTGTTTTTAACAGCTTTTCTAATCTAGAATAAATTAGGGACTCCTAATTAAAAAGGTTATTTTTCCACTGTATGTCACAATATATATGGAGATGAGGACAAACTTATTAAATCCTTTACAGGCTGACATTTTATGATTTTTCCTCTTTCTCTCACCTCTCCCCCAAACCTGAATTTAGTCACTGTTTACTGGCAAGTTTATGTTTGGTGTCAGAGTAATGGTACATTTTAGCTAAGATCAGAAACTGCCTCTAACAATTCGCTATTAATACCACTACTCGTTTCTCAAAGCAAAATGTGAGAATTTCATTATTCCAAGAATTTAGGGGGTTTTGTTGTCTTCTGCACTGAATTCGTATTAAGCCAGTCATCTGGCTGTAAGACTCAAGAAATACTTTGTAACAATAATAAAAAATTAACAACTAGGTAAAAGAAAACTGACATATATTTTAGGATTAAAGAAAATTACTTATTTATTACTATTCATTTTTTAATATTTCATGCAAAATACAATAGAAGCTATTAATTTAATCTGAAAATACTACCTCTGCTGCTGGATTATCGGGAAGGCTTTTCATTATTTCAAACTCCAGTTTGTGTTGAATATAATCCAGATCAGATTCTGCCTTCTGGAACTAAAATATTTAAGATCAGCTGCAGTGTATTAAAAAACGAAAACTGTAGACAAAACCCATTCATTTGTCTTTCCTGTATTTCAGGAAAGCAGAAGCCAGATGCCTCCATTTTAAAGGCTGATGTACTATAAACATAAGTTTCTATTCCTCCAGTCTATTCCACTAGCTAATATTTGCCAGTCACGCTGATACACTTCTAGACTGAAAAATATAAAGCGTTAAACTTTTAGACCTCTGACTGCATAATTTTTAGAAGTTAAAGACTGTCAATCAAATAGCTAGAAAGTATCTACATAATAAAAAGAAAAGCCCTAGCATATTAGTTTGCAGAATTTCTGTGCTATCTTACAACTGAGCCGCTTGACTCAGACATTACCACACTCAGCTGTCCCCAGTACCAGTCCAGATGTGGACATGAGCATTTTTCTCTCAGGTGTAAGAATTAAATGAAACCCTAAGAACACAGATGCATTTACACACTCACTTCTACTAATTGAACCTTCATTCCATTTGTCAAACCCAAATTACCCAGCTCTTCTCTTTGCATCCCTTTGATCTTGCCCTTAGTACCTTTTTCACACAGCTCCACAAAATGAGTGGAAACATTTCCACTTCTTCCTAGATTAAATGCCCTTTCAAAGCCAAACCTCTCAAGATGAAGTTTAAGTAGTACTCCAAAGAGGGAAGTTATATCAAGAGACAAGAACAATGCATCTTCTTTAAAATTGATCATCACAGGATGCAGAAGACACTTGGTTTTCTTCCCTGAGATATTAAGATATTTTCCATCATTTTATAGAGCTGCCTCTTGGCTAGCTGCTTTTCTTTTCAAACATTAAAAATTCCATTAGCAAAACTGCAGTACTCAGTTCTTTCCACAGTAAAGACTATGAATAAGTGTTCAGGATCCAAGTATATCAATAGAGATTTTGTTATGAATTATATTACGAATGTATTCTTTCAGATGATTATAATACTCGTAACACATTTGATCATTCCCCAGTAAATCAGACTAACAAAGAGATAATCAAATTGATGACATCACATTTCTTTCCTTGGGATAAATAAGCCACCAGAGAATTAGATAACTGCCTTGTAAAACAGTGTGCTGACAGCATTATTAATTAATTTTAGCCTGCAATTTTAATGTCTATTAAGGACTTCTAATTTAAAAAAAAAAAAGCAGCTTTTCCAGTTCATGAAACAAAGATGAATTTCTTAATATAACCATTTGGGGAATTCACAGTCGCAAAAGAGATTATGATGAAAGCAAGTTAAATGCTTGGAAGTTACTTAACTCAGTGTGGCTTCCACTATTTAAACTGAGATTAACTGTGAAGCAATCATTACAAATTTTTAAAGGACCAAAATAAGGCTGTATTTGTTAATTGTATCCCAAAGTACTAATTGGCAGTGCCATAACGGTACCTAATGCAACAAACTTCAGTAGGCTTTTTGGATATTGTATTTTGGTAATCAGGCCTGGATACCAAGAGAATGTTCATGTTTTCACCACCAGTCTTGGGATTCGCCTTCAGGAACTGCCATTAGTACCTTTGAGGATTAGGAACTTCAGATATGCATACAGCCTTAAGGGACGGTGTTCAATCCAAGATATTTTACATGCAAGATCCACTTCCTAGTGCACTGAAAATGCATGATGTTTCATCTATATGCCTTCAGCAAAACCTTTGGAATAGCGAATACAATAAGAAAATTCTCGCAAAGCCTTTGAGCATCTATAACTCGGAGGAAAAGCTCTCACATATTACTCCCATAACTTACTACCTGACTGACAAAACTCCTTCCCACATCCAACCCTACAAACCAGCCATCATAAAAATGCAATAATAATATACTTTTTATTACATTCTGTGTTGTTTAAAAAGCTCATGAAGGATTTTTCCTAACTGTTCAACCATATCCATTCTCCTCCACTGGCAAACATTTTTAATTCTTCGTTTCTAGGGACAGACTACCAAAACAGGCCACTTTCTGCTTCTCTCCATCTCCCCTATCAAATTATTAATTATTAGGAATGCAGACAAAGACTATGGGTGGCTTTAAAAAGTATCCACGAAGCCCTGTTCTTAAAAATATTTCAATGTGGATAAATAGAAATGTATAGAATGACAGTAAGCCATTAATACCTTGCTGCTACTATCATTCAGGACATTAAAAATTAAACGTGAATCTGAATGCTCACGCATTACATGACTATAATGTTAAGACTTGTGCTTAATGAAAACATTAATACAGTTCAGTATCACTGCTTTCTCCTGAAAGCATGCTACTCCATGAAAGAAACAAAATTTATTAACAACAATTTCAAAGTTTATAAGCACTGAGATATATTCCTCCATTATGATCAATTTTTTCTGTATTTTATAAGTAGAAGTATTTATTTCTTGCTATATTTCAGGAAGCATACACCTGTAAAAATCTCATCTTAATGTTATGGGTTAGGATCATTTGCATGATGAATATTATACAACAATCACATAAAAAACGCACATTTATGAAATGTAGATTTTGTAATTTACTCACAGGCTTTGACGAAAGTGTTAGAAACGGTAAGGCAAGATTCAAGCCATTGCTGAGTACTCTGCTTTCAGATGCTTTGACAATACTATTGCACTGCTAGCTGTAAAGTACAGTAGTGCAATAAAGTCAGAGCATTTGTTAGCAGCAGG